GGCGCAGATGGGGCTCCCGAAGGGGGGGTGATGATGAGGAGGAGGGGAAGAGTCATGTTGCATGACTCTAGGGGTGCAAGGAAGCCAAAGGGGGGGGGGAGGTCTGCACGAAGCCCACTTTTGGGGGGGGTGCAGGTGGGCTAAGGGAGGGCATGCAGGAGATGCTGCAGAGTTTTATTTTTTACATTTTTATTTATTTATTTTGTCAAGGATCTGTAAGATAACAGATATAAGTATAAACATGATTATGGATCCATGAAATTGATACGAATAAGTGGAGTTGTTAGGACAGGGCACTTTGGTGTGCTTATGCACACCCCCTTTACGGACCTCTCAGGAATGGGGTGAGGTCAACAGTAGGCAGTTTGAGGTTGAAGCTTGTGGGGGTTTGAGGCTGTAACAACAGAGTCAGGTAGAGCATTCCAGGCTTTCACCACTCTTGCTGAAGTCATATTTTTTGCACTCGACTTTGGAGTGGTTTATCTTGAGTTTGCATCTATTGTGTGCTTGTGTATTGTTGTGGTTGAAGCTGAAGTAGTCATTGACAGGTAGGATTCCCAGGTCTTTGCTGTGGGTGAAGTTTGTGGGAGGCTGAGTTGTGGGGAATTATTTTTATCCTGAGTTTGTTATTATTTTTCTTTAAGGTGGCAAGCGTACTTAATAGTCTTCCTTCAATTCCCCCCCACCCTAACAACCCTATAAGGTGAGTTGGGCCGAGACAGAGGGGTGGCCCATTGTCACCTCGTTGGCTTTCATGACAAAGGTGAGGCTAGAACTCACGATCTCCCGGTGATTGGCTTGCAGTCACCTAGCTGGATTGTTGTTGTTTTTTTTGCCTAAAATGGGATTAGAACTCACTGTCTCCTGGTATTTGACCTAAAGTCACCGAGCTAGCTTTGGTCTCCTGGTTTTTAGCCTGGTGCCTTGACCCCTAGTTCCAATTGGTTCTCTATGTGGAAAAGAAAGGAAAGGAAAGGAAAGGAAAGGGAAGGAAGGAAGGAAGGAAGGAAGGAAAAGGAAAGGAAGAAAAAGAAAGGAAGAAAAAGAAAAGAAAGATAGGGCTATGTGTTAATGCGCTTTGGGTTTAGGTTCCTAAAAGTTTGCCAATCATACCTCCGTTTGTGTAAACATAATTTATACCTTTGCTCTAAAACATAATTTACACCACAATTTTTATTGATTACCAGGAAGGGAAGTGCTGCTAATTTATATGACATAATAAATCTATTGTCTCTCGGCATCTTCCCAATACTTGGAATCTGGATTGGAATTTAGCGGGCCGACTGATCATTGCTAAGAAATCTTGAGTCTGAAATTCATACATCTCTCAGTCCCAGATCAAGGAACTGTCCAAAGACAAAGTGCAAATATTCTCTGCTAATGCTGATTGATTGCTCTTGTAGGGCGATACAAAGGAAGTGTCCAAAATGGTATGCTTTGTTTTAGGATAGCGTGATAAACTTTCTACATTCTATCCTTGAGTATGTGGGTTGACATGTTTGTTGTTAATCCTGCCATCACCCAAACCTTGGAGCGAGATGCAAAATCACAGATAAAAGATGCTAGTACAGTTATCATGAGAACGAGAAAATTAACTATTAACCATAATCTAGAAATACCAGTAGGAAGCCAGTTAGGGATAATGGTTAAGGCGTCAGGCTGGAAAAATACCGTGAATTTAGCCACAAAGCCAGCTGGGTGACCTTGGGCCATTTCTTGTCTCAGCCCTAGGAATGAGACAGTGGTAAACCACTTGCAAAAAAACATTGCCAAGAACCTGCTGGGACTTGTCTATTAGTCTAAAACTGACTTGAAGGTACACATACACACAGAGATAAATCCTGGTGGATCTTCATTGTGAAAAAGCTTTCTTTAAAAAAAAATGTTTTCCAATTCTTTCAGTCATTTGGAGGAGAGAACTCAATGGGACCATCCAAAATCTGGGAAACGGAAAAGAGTTGCTGGAGGTTTGTATTCAGACTTTGCTTGTTAAATGTATTTTATTTTTTAACCTTTCTGAACCACCCATCTCCCTCGGAAAGGGATTCCACAAAGGGGAAGGGGGGAATCTTCATGCAAAAGTTGCTAGTAATCCTTGTAGGACCAGGAACAAGTTGTTTGATTTATTTCAATATTGGGGTGCCGCATAAGCACTTCAGAGTTGCTCTTTATGCATTTCAGCTTTTAAATATCTACACTACAGAATTGGAACGGACTAAAATTAGTATTGACTTTGGATCTTGTTACCTTTAAAAGAATTGAGTCTTGAGATACAGACAAGCAGAAGACTAGTATGATTTTAGAATTTGGAGCCAGCATCTGACATGTTAGCTGTTGTGGCCCGCCAGTGGCCAGCGGAGCTGACAGCAGATTCGGACAGAAAGAAGGTTGGGGAGGAACCTGGGCCAGTCCTGGTGTCTGGAGAAGGCTCTGATGAGGGCTCTGCGTCAGAGGCAGAGAGGGGACCAGAGATATATGCCAGTTTTCAGCTGCCTTCAGAGTTAGACATCAGTGAGGCAGAGGAACAGCTGGAGCCTGTTCCCAGTGTGCGCATGGACAGAGTTGTCAGATGAAGGGAACAGCTAAAGAACAGAGGTCGACTTGGCAGTAAGGCCACAGGTGGATGATGAATGGCCCTCCCAGAGGAAATAAAGGAGCGAAAGGGGAGTGGAGCTTGCAGGAGACCATTAGTTCACTTAATTGGTTTGTGATTCCCTGAGACTCCTTGCCAAGTTTTGCAGATATCGGCCTGTCAGCTCTCCAAGCCAGATAAGGTCTGTGAGTGTAAATCCTCCCATGAATGAGCAGAATTCATAGTAAATTAATAAAAGGGGCTTTTGTTGGGACAGGGAGTTTACTGCATGCTCTTGGGAAGCCTAGGTTAGCATTAGTGGTACATTTCTCCCCAGGATCTTTAAAAATAACTGAAAAGCAATCACCCCTTTAAAATAAATTGTCAGAATAAATACAGATTTTTTAAATCTAGGAAATTTATATAGCCACCTACTTGCTCACGGTTACTCTAATCCAATAAAACACAATATTATGCTTGCCTGCAAGACGTGATCTAGAATAAGTCCCATGGTGTAGAATTTGAATTTATTTTGAATGGAATGAGGATAAATGGGGCATGCAGAAGTCCTCCCAACAAGTCCACCAGCAATATTTCCATATTTTACATTCAGATGTCTCTCCTTCCCTCTCTTCTCATAATAATCGTTTCTGAGACCCCATGGAAGAAGACAATCCTGGGGTGGAAGATGCTGCCTGAAGAACGAGACCTCCAACCAGCATTGGCCTCATCTGGTAGAACAAGGTGCTAGTCGTCACCTACAAAGCCCTTCATGGTATTGGACCTGG